TCTTTTCCCATTAACTACAACTTGAACCCATATTATTATTATTATTATTATTATTATTATTATTATTATTATTATCTTTTCCCATTAACTACAGCTTGAACTATTATTATTATTATTATTATTATTATCATCTTTTCCCATTAACTACAACTTGAACTCATACATTATTATTATTATTATTATTATTATTATTATTATTATTATCTTTTCCCATTCACTACAACTTGAAATCTGATGCTGAAGGACAATTGTGAGTCCTAGTGAGACATCGAGAGGTCCTTTCCAGACGGAGAGGGGGCTAAAGGCGAAAAGGCCCCGCAACTCACCCCTTGACCAGCTCCACCACGATGAAGTCGTTCCCGTTGCCGCTGTTGAAGAGGATGAGCCCGTCCGTGGCCGTGGTCTTGAACTGGAAGAAGAGGTGCATGGAGGCGTAGGCTTGGAGCGTGGCCAGCGCCAGGTAGCTGGCTTTGCTCTTGAAGGTGACCGGGTCGGCGATGATGCTGCGCAGGCCGAAGCGGGCGTTGAGCTCGCAGTAGCTGATGTCGCCGTTCTTGCAGAGGTCCATGTAGGGCAGGCCGTTGAAGACCAGGCTGCTCAGGTGGCCAATGAAGTTGGAGGGCACCACCGAGATGAAGCGCCGCTCCGTCATGATGCCCGTCTCGATGTTGTGGAACTCCAGGCGGGTGTGCGCCCCGGCCATCTGCCCTGCTTGGACCAAGCGCACCGGAAAGAGAATGGGGGGAAGAAGGACGGGAAGAAGGGTGCACTGTTAAAACCGGGGAGAAGCATTCTCTCCTGACATTTCACCCACATCTATGGCAGGCATCCTCAAAGGTTGTGCAGTATGTTGCAAAGTAGCCAAGTGGGGTTTATAGATTTGTGGAATAATGTCCAGGGTGGGAAGAAAGAACTCTTGTCTGTTAGAGGCAAGGAAACAACCAGGGCCAGCTAACACCACCTAACAAAGGATCCTGTAACCCTATGCCCTTGCAAAGACACCCAAAGGACTATCAAAGGCTTTCATGGCCGGAATCACTGGGTTGCTGTGAGTTTTCCAGGCTGTCTGGCTATGTTCCAGAAGCATTCTCTCCTGACATTTCACCCACATCTATGGCACAGGTTGTGAGCTCTGGCCGAGGTTGTGACCAAAAGGACTATCAAAGGCTTTCATGGCCGGAATCACTGGGTTGCTGTGAGTTTTCCAGGCTGTCTGGCTATGTTCCAGAAGCATTCTCTCCTGACATTTCAACCACATCTATGGCAGAAGTTGTGAGCTCTGGCAGAGGTTGTGACCAAAAGGACTATCAAAGGCTTTCATGGCCAGAATCACTGGGTTGCTGTGAGTTTTCCAGACTGTCTGGCTATGTTCCCGAAGCACTCTCTCCTGACGTTTCACCCACATCTATGGCACAGGTTGTGAGTTCTGGCAGAAGTTGTGACCAAAAGGACTATCAAAGGCTTTCATGGCCCGGAATCACTAGGTTGCTGTGATTTTTCCAGGCTGTCTAGCTATGTTCCAGAAACATTCTCTCCTGACATTTCACCCACATCTGCTCTGGCTGCTCTGACACGACAAATAAATAAATAAATAAATACCCACATCTATGGCACAGGTTGTGAGCTCTGGCAGAGGTTGTGACCAAAAGGACTATCAAAAGCTTTCATGGCTGGAATCACTAGGTTGCTGTGAGTTTTCCAGGCTGTCTGGCTATGTTCCTGAAGCACTCTCTTCTGACGTTTCACCCACATCTATGGCAGGCATCCTCAAAGGTTGTGCAGTATGTTGGAAAGTAGCCAAGTGGGGTTTATAGATTTGTGGAATAATGTCCAGGGTGGGAAGAAAGAACTCTTGTCTGTTAGAGGCAAGGAAACAACCAGGGCCAGCTAACACCACCTAACAAAGGATTCCCCCAGGCAGGAAGCAGCCAGGCTTTAAAGCTGCATGGCTGTAACCTTATGCCCTGTTCATCCTTGCAAAGGCTTTCATGGCAAGAATCACTGGGTTGCTGTGAGTTTTCCAGGCTGTCTGGCTATGTTCTAGAAGTATTCTCTCCTGACATTTCACCCACATCTATGGCAGAGGTTGTGAGCTCTGGCAGAGGTTGTGACCAAAAGGACTATCAAAGGCTTTCATGGCCGGAATCACTGGGTTGCGGTGAATTTTCCAGGCTGTCTGGCTATGTTCTAGAAACATTCTCTCCTGACGTTTCACCCACATTTATGGCAGGCATCCTCAAAGGTTGTGCAGTATGTTGGAAAGTAGGCAAGTGGAGTTTATAGATCTGTGGAATAATGTCCAGAGTGGGAGAAAGAACTCTTGTCTGCTTGAGACAACTGTGAATGTTGCAATTGGCCACCTTGATTAGCACTTAATGGTCTTGCAGCTTCAAAGTCTGGCTGCTTCCAACACCCCAAAAACCAGGGGAATTCCTGCCATGAATGGGTTTGCAGCTTCAAAGTCTAGCTGCTTCCTTCCTGAGGGAATCATTTGTTGGGAGGTGTCTAACCCATTGCGCCACCGGGGGCTCCCATTATTATTATTATTATTATTATTATTATTATTATTATTATTATTATCAATATTACATGTAATATGTAATATACAATTATTATATTGTATTATTAGTAGTATTATATTGTATTACATTATATTATTATCATAATATTATTATTATTAGCACAGCAATAATATATAAACTCCCTTTGCCTAGTTTCCAACAGAGCTCACACCCTCTGAGCATGCCTGCCATAGATGTGGGTGAAACATCAGGAGAGAATGCTTCTGGAACACAGCCAGAAAGCCTGGAAAACTCACAGCAACCCAGTGATTCTGGCCATGAAAGCCTTTGATAGTCCTTTTGATGTCTTTGCAAGGGCATAGGGTTACAGAATCCTTTGTTAGGTGTTGTTAGCTGGCCCTGGTTGTTTCCTTGCCTCAAACGGACAAGAGTTCTTTCTCCCACCCTGGACATTATTCCACAGATATAGAAACCCCACTTGCCTAGTTCCCAACAGAGCTCACAACCTCTGAGTGTGCCTGCCATAGATGTGGGTGAAACGTCAGGAGAGAATGCTTCTGGAACATGGCCAGACAGCCCAGAAAACTCACAGCAACCCAGTGAAATCCTTTGACAGCTTGCTCCCTCCTCCCTAGGACTTCCTCGCTTATATTTATACATGTCTCCTCTCAGCCTTCTCTTCTTCAGGCTAAACATGCCCAGCTCTTTCAGCCGCTCCTCGTAGGGCTTGTTCTCCAGATCTCCTTGATCATTTTAGTCATCTCTTTGCCTTTTCTCACCAAAGTGGTACCTATTTATCTACTCACATTACATGTTTTCGGATTGCTAGGTTGGCAGGAACTGGAGCTGACCAACTGGAGTTCACCCCGTCTTGCAGATTGAACTGCGGACCTTCCAGTCAGCAATTTAGCCAACGTTTCAGCGGCAAAAGGGTTTAACCCATTGCACTGATTAAGAGTTAAATTTGTTCCATCACTGAACTCTTAACTCAAATCACTCTTATCTCAAAGCAAAATTTTCCATTGAAATAGATTGAGATGCTATTAGAATCATAGAGTTGGAAGACAGCTCATGGGCCAACCATCCCAACCCCCTTCTAAGAAGCGGGAAAATCTCATTCAAAGCACACCCAACAGATGGCCATCCAGCCTCTGCTTAAAAGCCTCCAAAGAAGGAGCCTCCACCAC